TCCAGTGCAGAAAAGTACACTAAAGTAACAGGTTCTCTCTCTCTCTTTCTGTCTGTCTGTCTTTAAGGAGCTTTATCCCAGGTCCTGTGTCTCTCTCTCTCTCTCAACAGAGCGAGGTGATGTTTAATGGAAAGTTAATATGGCTTTAATGCTCATCGCCGCACTTCGACACCGAAGGCCCCCACTAATCCACTCTGTTCCACACCGCCTGGAAACACTTGGAGAAACAGCGAGAGAGAGAGTGGGCACAAAGCAGAGTGTGTGTGTGTGTGTGTGTAAGAGAGAGAGAGAAGATACTATTGGCTATTGATTTACAGAGCATGTATTAAACAGTGGTGGAATAGGTTCTCGGATGTTTTATTTAAAGCTGCAGTTTATTTTTATAAAAATATATTTTTTATAAACAGCGGCACATGTATGTATATTTATGTAACAGTGTTGTAAAAACAATAGTGTTTTTTTATTTTCCTTATTCTAAAGTGTTTTCTTATCTGTGATACCAAATATGGCAGTTTTTCCACTATATTTTTTATAATAAATGTTTATAAATGCTGGAAGAAAATAACTTTACAGGACACATTTATCATCATCATCTTATTTTATCCATCTCTTTTAATTTGCAGTGGATATGTGTCGTCATGATGTCGGTTTGTTTGCTCAGTACATGTTCGTTAAGTCTTGGAGGCTTAAAGCATTGACATGAGTCTTAACTAGTTATTAGGACACCACAGACACAGACCCTTAGTTGTTTTCCCCTCTTTGCATGTGTAATCAATTCAGGGAGTTAGGTGGGGAGGGTTCATGTTGTAAGACTTCAAGAGGCTAATAGCTTTAAAATGAGTCTTAACTGGTGTTTAATTCACCAACAGCTGTTGTGCTGTGCTGGTTAAGAATCGAGCAACAGGACGGCCTGTCTGTGGGACCAGGAGGAGAAATTAGTTCTGCTGATGCCCATATTCCCTCCCAGGGAACCATCTGCTCCACTTCAATACAATAGAGGGATTTTCTGAAGGAATAAAATGCTTTGAACGCAACAATTTCTCTCTCTCTCTCTCTCTCTCTGAGAGGGGTTTTGGTTAAGGTGTCGTATTTCCTGGCAGGACTGCCGCTGCACATTGAATGTTTGGTTCCTTTTGTTGAAGAGTGGATCGTTTCATCACGAAGCCTTAAAATGAGTAGTTTACAAGATTATACTGAAATGAGATGTATTTAAATGCATATAGATCTGGGCCAGAGTGCGATAAAAGCAGTTGTTCAGTTCATTCAGCTGAAATCTCTTGAAAATGTTGCTGTTCACTATGGCTTTGAGCCATATGGTTAAATGCCCGCTGCTGGAGCCTGTGGCCACCAGGGAAACCCCAAATAGACAAATTATATATGTAAAGTCTGCCTTTAATTTTTATCATAAGTACCAGGTCTACCGAGTAAATTATGTTTTTAGTTTGATCCTATTTTATTTGCTTTTTTTGGGAGTGGTTATTATATATGAGGTTCTTTAAAGCTGCAGAATCCACCGGGGCTGAATGAAAACAACCATTCAGAGCCAAGTTGATTGTTGAGTCTCATTCCCAGAGTCGCAAAGCATCTGTATTTGACGGCCTGGGAATGAGACTCAATCAACTATCTTCAATCTCCCATCCAAAGCATCATTATATCTTTCTCGGCTTTGATTGGTTGTTTTAGTTCAGGCCCCGTGCATTCTTGTGTAACCTTATTCTCAGTCTCCTCAGGTTCCATCTGATCAACTAGGTTCGGGTAAGGAGATTGGCAGTAGCACTGAAGCACGAGAGCAATTGATCCCCAGCCCACATAACACAGAATGTGGTATAAATGTATATATTCAAATATTCCATTTTTTCCCCCAACATAAAATGTTCAGCCTTACACTCAGTGTGTGCAATGAAATGCAGTTATTTCCACATAAATTAAATTCACAGTATGAAATAAAATTAGCTGACCCAGGTAAGTACCGATA